GTGCATTGCTGCGGTTGGTTTGTGATCGATTGCGACTGCGAGTGCGTCGATTTCCGTTGTTTTTATTGCTGTTGAGCAGCTGACCAAGTTTTGTATTGATGTTTTGAAACATTATGTCCTGGGCATCCAGACGTTTTTCTATCGTACTGATGCGGTTGTCCATTTGATGCTCAGCTGCAGTGTTGTTACGGGAAAGCACTGCGACGTTATCACATGAAGTATAACTTAATGTATCCATTACGGCGTCAGCGGCTGTTGCAAGTTGCGATAGTGTTGTATTCGGGGAAGTCTCAAGAATACCTGCGATGACAACGCGAGCTGCAGGAGGTAGGCGTTTAATCCAATAACGACGTACAACTGATTCGTCGTTAGTAGCGTTGGTTTGCTGTAGTTGGCTGAGGAGATGGCTTGGACGTCCATCACCAAGTTCAATGCCAGTGGCAAGTTTGTCGAGGCGTGTCATCTCTGACTCAGCGAACTTTGCCAGGATGGCTTGTTTGAGTGTAGTGTATGGTTTTGTTTAAGGCTCATTTTGAACAAGATCGTGAACTTGATCTAAGTATTTGGGATCCGCATATGTGATGACGGCTGCGTAGTTCTCGTGTTCCTTTCGTAAGCCTATGCTTTGTAAAAGAAACCAACTGTCTAGCTTTGTAAAAAACATTTCAATATTTGTAACCGTGTGTAGTTGAGGAAAAGGCATCTTGACGAAAACAGAATTTACATTGTTTGCAGCTCCTGCATTGCTGTTCTCAATGTAAGCGCTAGCATTATTCTCGTCCTCCATTTTGTATTTTAAGCGTCATGTATTTCGTGGAACTGCGCAAAATGTCTATCTTTGTGGGAGTATGTCGCAGCAAAGCTATATATATGAGTGTGTCAATTAGCTTATAATTCTAAATTGAATTGGCGAAAACTTTAGTATGATCTTGAAGTATGCCTGTTGGTGATGATTGCAATTTAAGTAGGTGCTCCGTCTCTCCTGAGTTGCGCACACTTTGGTTATTGTCGGGGGTCACCAATTTGGTTATTTGGATGGAACTTAATAGTCAAATTCTACATCCGTTAACACAAGTAAAATATCTCGATATAGCAACAGTGCTTTACTTATTATATACCAAAAAGAGTTAATATTTAGATGCGTATAAGCTGAACGTTAGAGAGCTCGAGCTAGAAGAAGGTTGTACGTGCTTTTTTGCAATATGGTGAAATTCAAAATTAGTGTAACCAAACTTATCAAAGAGAAAAAACTTAAAATGTATCAGTTCCTGTGCTGCCAGATCGCCACAATTCCTTACATCCCAAAAACATACATACATATGTGTGTATGCATGTGCAGAGTGTGTCTCGCTCTCACTTATTGATTTGCGCACTTGTGTGCATCTCCTTCTCCCTGCATACATATGTTTGTGTTGTGTGGATGTGCGCACAAGTAGATCGCGGCGTTTGTCGCGAGCCAGAGATTTTTTCTTCAATTGTGTGTCCTTTTTGCCTGTGGCACACACATTCAAATGATCTATCATGTATTTCTTCGTCCAGTCAGGCATAATGAGAAGAATCTGATATATTTATATTTATTAAAAACTTAAATGACCTAAATGATATATTTATATATTATATTTTAATTTTTTTGTTTACTGTGGGGACCAATTTTGCTTAAAATTAAACAAAAAACTAAGTCGTATTTCTGCAAGGGTAATTCTTCGTCGGCTTGTCGAATACACGCACACTCTTTCGACTAAGCAGTTGGGTGACATTAGTAAAGGGTTTGGCCTGTTCATGTGCGAAACTCCTATTTGCCATGATTGTTATAAGGGTAAGGGTACCTGAACGTTGGCATGTCTGCATAACAACTTTTTGGGCCTGCCAAGCACACACACTTACACACTTTTCTATATGGATGGAAGCATTTATACGTTTGTGTGCGTGTTGGTTGCCTGCCTGCCTGCCCGATGCAATTTGACAAGATTTGAAGATTCTGGCATTTATGAATTTCGAGCTCTACACACACACACCTTTTGCGGCCGCTAGCCCACCGCAGGCATGCCAAAAAACTAAGACCGTGCTCGTCGCCCAAATTTACGCAACCATTGATGAAAATATCTCTGTCTCACGACAAACCCTTGATCGGCTCATTTGCACAAATTTGTGTGTGTGTGTGTTGGAAACTCCCGACTAGAGCCTATTACTTATTTTATTTAAAATATGAACATTTTTTATTTTGAACGGTGAGTCGGTGCGGTGCTAGCTTAGTGTGAGTGGCAGGGACTCGTCTTTCCTTATGAAATCTGTCGCAGCAGCTGACGTTGTTGCTGATGTTTTTTTACCCAGAACCCATTAAAAATGGGTAAAAAGGGTTTAATGTATTTGTGCAAATGTATGTAACAGGCAGAAGGAAGCATCTCCGACCCCATAAAGTATATATATTTTTGATCAGCTTCAACAGCCGAGTCGATCTAGCCATGTCTCTCTGTCTGTCCGTCCGTCCGTCTGTCCTTCCGTCCGTCCGTATGTATGAACGCAAGGATCTTAGAACCTATAAGAGCTAGAGACTTGAAATTTTAGCTGTAGGTCCTCATAGTCCATCCGCAGATCGAGTTTGCTTCCGATATTGGATAACTTGCCCCGTTTCCAATCGATATAGAAATCCTGTTTTTATGCCGTTTTGGGTAAATAATAAGAGCTAGATTCACCAAGTAAAACATGTAGCTAGAATAGTATATATATATATCAAGTATCTTTCATTTTATAGCTATCACCACCTCCCCGCTACTACCTCATAGCTATAAATCAAGTAAATAAACCAATTAATGTTTCCCATCAATATAAGCCTGAATTTAAATGCAATTGTCATTTTGAGAATACGTGAATATTTTTTAGTACAATAAGATGTACTGCTAAAAATTTCATCAAGATCGGTTAAGAAACACCAAAGAAAATGTGTTTCGTCTGTCCACGTGTTTGCGGCAGCTAGCGCAAATTGCAAGAATTTTTGTATACATGTACACACACCCATAAATGCGCGTCTGCTTTGAAGACTCGATAATTGGTGTGGCTGTTGGGTAGAGGCGGCGGCAAGTAGTGCGGTGAGTTGCGAGTTCGTTCCCTGCCAAGAAAACGTTTTTTAATTTATCTTTATTACTACTAAAGCAAACGAGCGCGTCGCACGAGCTGCATTTGGTGTTGGAAGAAGAGGGTTCAGGGTTTCTTCTAGTCAGGAGCTCCCGACTAGAACCTCTTACTTGCTTCTAATTTAATTTGCTCAATTCGCTCGTGTTGGGTTTTTTTTTGTTCTGTTTTTTCTTTTCATTTGGTTCCCACAACACTTTGTGTTGGGGTTTTATCTTTTGTTATTTAACAATTTTTTTAAGCGATATTTTAGGTCTTAATTCTCACACGTTCGATTAAAATTCGTTGTCGAACTGGATTTAAGGGGTTCTATTGAAACTACGCACCAATTTACGCTACAATTTTAATGTTGTGTTTTTGAAAATATACGAATTTTCTATAACACAATAAGATCAACACCCGAAAATTTTATTAACATCAGTTAAGAAGAGCTGAGCTTATTAAAGAAAACGTGAGGTTAGCCACGTGTCAGCGGCAGCAAGCGCAATAACTGTGGTATATATGTACGCACACACATTCATGCGCGTTTTTATTGAACACCATTAACAGCATTTCAATTGCGATTATATTGTATTATGTGTTATGTCAATGTGCTGCTATTTTAAATCAAAAATAAACTGTTTGTATAGCTGTCGAGCAGAGGCGATAGCAAGTTGTTTGGTTGCTTACGGGTTCGAGACCAGTTGAGGAAACTATTTTTTATTTAAATTTATTTTTATTACTCCTAAAGCAAACGAGCTCGAATTCTCAAGGTACTCCCTTGTCAGGCACTCTGGACTAGAGCTTCTAGCTTGTTAATATACCTAGTTTTTAAAAAGTATGCTAAGACAATTTCCGGTCCAGTATTTGCACTCCCATTTGATAAGTTCACCGCGTCGATAAGTTTGATCTGAGAACTGCATAGCGTGAGAAATCAGAGTGATTTCCCGATTTCTTAATTTTGTGTAGTATTACGATTTCACATTTGTTAATCTCGTTAATTCCCCTGAAACCAGGCAGGCCAATCAGTCATCCATGGGTAATCAAGTGGAACCTATACATAAAAAGCCAGTTCTGCACAATCGAACAGTGGATTGTAAACAGTCGAATTATAGTATAAGATCGTCGAGCTAACAAAAATCAGCCTTACGATAGGCCGTATACCTATGCCGATTGGTAGTTCAATGGCCAAATTCAAAGTATGATGAGAGGGGATGTGAAAGCGAATCAACCACAGCATTGTTAAAGGTATCCAAACACAATAATCAAAGCGATCTGTCCTTTGAAGTTAAATGTGGATTATACTTTGCAGTGACAAAATATACATACTGTAAATAAACTCATGAGACCTGGAAGGTTAAGGCAAGTTTATATTCTTTATATTGGCGAGGATCAGTATTAGCATCAAAATATTTCGAGTGGAATAAGGAAATTTAAGGTTTGAATACAAACTTTCGAAAAACTTGATGAAGGCTGGAAACAATAAAAATTATTTTTGGACACAACGCCCTTTAGAAGCTTAGCCACAAGAATATTGCTGCAACATAAATACAGTTTATTACAGTTTTTTAAATCAACTGACTTAGACATAGAAAATTTTAAACTATAACAAACCTTAAAAAGACAAAAACAGCATGCTGTTAAGCACACATTCACAAATTAAATGATTTAATAAACAAAGAACAGCATATTCCCCAATAAAATAAATTGATATTCACTACGAAATTATTGATTTAGTAAAGTGTTAAAGGTTTTAATATAAATAAAAAAATAATCAATTCGCATGGGAAACGAATACATTCTTTTTTTTTTTAAATCGTTTTAGGATATCTCGGCTACACTTAAGTATTAAAAAAATATGGTAGATAGATTAATGAATAAGAATACTATACCTTAAGTGAAATCACTGCACGCCCAATTAATTCGTTATCATGTTTTCCAGAAGAAGCAGTAACGGCAATTTCCTTCATTAGCTTACTAAGGCCTTTCACGCCTTTGACATCCAAAAGTTTATTAAACTTGTCTTTGATGGTTTCCGCAGCATCGAAATCCCTAAATAAATTGTGCTGAATTAATATATTGCGAGTTTTTTTAATAGCGTTGTCGCAGCTCTATGGATAACAAGTTCAAATGACAGTAGGGTGCAAAAATATTATTAATTCAACACATTTTTTATAACCTATTATATTAACGATGAGCATCTTATACTCTAGTAAATGATAAATATATATATATACATATATATATTTATATATATATATATATATATACTTCACAAGCCCAATATTAAATTGTCTCAGGAGCGGCGGTTGGACAGAATGGATAATCTCGAAGTACATATGTATATCTCGTTTAGTTGTACAGGGATATGGTATATAAATTGTGTTGTGACGTCAATCTGTTCGCCGGTTATTTTAATTTAATGATGAGCCATGACAGGCAGACGGCGCAAATACTGACAACCAATTTAAACTTTTACGATATCTTTTTTAATGCGTTAAAGTGAGCAGTCAACATAATAATGACAAAACTGAAGATTAGTTGAATAGTACAGCTTAAAATTTTTAAGCGTGGGTTAACTATAATATGCAAGTGTCAATTGTTTGTTTTTGGTTCATTTTATCCCCAGCTTAATATACTATAAAAAGTGACCAAATTTTTTTTCTTATTAAAAATTAAATAACAAAATGTTTTAACTGAACTGTTTAAAATTGAAGTTAAAACAAGTAATACACAACCTGAACACACCACCGGGATAAATCCATAAACACCTTTCAATAACTTTAAGTTTTATTGCCCGGTCCTTAAAAATTGTTAGAGCTTAAATATGGCACAGAGCTATCCAGCTATTGAAAAACTAAAATCTTCTGTATGTATAGTACAAGAATGTATAAATTAACGAATTCAATGGTTGTAAGTTTTAAAAAATATATATTTTTATTTATTTAACAGCACTATGTGCTTACAATGAGTCCAAGTTATATACTAAACTTTGTATCTTAATTAATACCTAGTGAAACCTCAGTCCAACGAGGAAGCGTCGCAGCCGGCGTCGGCGTCTCTAGCTTGGTGTTGTTGCATATGTTGAAATGCCCCAATTCTACATTTCGCAGGGGTTCGCATACCTTGGGAACCAACGAACTTTATTGGTTCCGCTGATTCCTCAATTATTGGCATGTGCAATAATTATGCCGAATTTGCGATCCCACGGTTGACTGTCCAACGAGCGCGTCGACCTCTTATGTACCTTGTAGTAGCCGAGTGGGAACAGTTCTTGATTGTTAGAAACTTTATGTGCTACCCTCGCTCACACAGATCATACGATAATGCAGTTAAACTGAGGACCGATCGCGAAAGCTTTTATCACCGTTACAGCTAGGTCTATAAAAGGAGCGGGCGACCGCGTGCGACAGTCTTCAGTTCAGATTGGAAGCGAAAAGACGTACTTCGTCAAGAAGATTAAACAGTGTTAAAACGAAGTCTAAAGTTAAAATAAGTAATAAAAATAATAGAAAGCGTATTGAAGCAGACGTGCGAGTGGAAAAGTATTGTAAAATCTAAGTAGTGAAAGATATTGAAACAGGTGATTTTATATTAGCCTAGTATCAATGGATTGGTGTTTGACCCTTGTTTAATTTTACAGCCTCGTGGCAGGGGTGCTGCCGCAAGCGCTGGTTCGCTTTTCACCAATCTCTTGGTGCATATATATTGGCTCGGAGACAAGGGTAGTAAATCTACTCCAAGGAGATTTCGGAACCGTGCTCCAGTGCCACATTCGAGACTGCTCGTTGATGATCATCAAATGTGTCTGGCGTTAAGTGACTTATATAAATGGATACCAAAGTCACAAGTTTATTCAGATCCACAAGAAATTCTGACTTAATATCTGTGTTGCGTAGTGTAATTGATTATTTATTCTCCTTTGTGCTACCTTCGTCGCTCTTATTGAGAGAATGAGAATTAGAATTGACAAAGAGTAAAGCGCACGAACAAGCTAAAAGATAAAAGCAACTACAATTAGTAAAACAGAAGCCATCTGAACGAAATTCGAAGCACGCATCCATACATACATCACATTAAACTTAAATTTTTGACATTGCGATCAGCGGATGTCTACCTAATCTATTCCCATTGATCGAAGCTAAAGTAAATTTAAGCAACTAAACAAACATGAAAAAAAATGTATTATATTGAACTAAAAATTAGTCGATAGATATTAGAGTTAAGCAGCAGTAGTAACATTCTTTTTGACCTATGAATATATTTGGCAAGGGTAAGGTTGTGTCATTTAAATGCACGTCAATATTTATATATATACTTACAATTAACTTTCTTTGTACAAAGGCAACAATGATACCCATACAATAATACACCTACACACACCCGCCAACATCGACGTCATATTGGGCCCAAGCGCACGCAACGATGGAAGTATGAGTGAGTTAATATAGAGTAGTGAGGACTATTATTTTTGTATATCTGTTGTATATATATATATTTACGATTGACATTGCATTGATCTCGAACCTATTGCCAACGTGAGCGTAAGATAACAGTTTTCTTCAGTAAGTTATGTTGGAAAACTGAAGTTATTTTGTTGAACAAAAATCAGTATATTATTATTTTTAAAATCATGAATTCGAATATGAATGTTTCGGTAAATCTTAGGGAATTGATAATTCGCTTGTAATATAATCATGTATCTTGAGATCAACGGCTTGCTTCAATTAAATGATTTTGTTATATTTTAATATGAATCGGTGAATAATTATCTTGTCTGTCGAGAACCATGCTGAATTCTGTTGAAATGCGTTAATGCGTTAGAGTCTCGCATAGGGGCAATCTACGATTTTCTGGTTGCTATGGTAGAGAGGGTAGAGACGAGGGACAACTAACACCAAGATCCCTCCATTAGGCATATTGGATCCCGAGTTTTGTGGTGTTTGTCGGAACACTTATTTACAGGATAGAGAAATAAAGATAAATTTTATGATAGTATTTGATCTTGTTTTTTTTTTTGAAGCGTACTTGATATTCTTCATTTCAGTGTATTGGTGTTGATAGGCAGATTGGGCGAGGAAGAACCCCGACCACGACGAGCTAAATTGAGCAAAAGCAAGAAGTACGCGCCCCCGAACCCAACGCCCCGCGACCAACGTAAGCCATTAAGGGCGAAAACGTCATAGAGGGTTACAAATGGACGTGGACACTCCATGTAGAAGGCAGCATCGACTGCCCCCCGTATACACATGGACACTACAATCTAAAGTTACATACGCGACACTTTGCTTCAGCTTTTCCCAGCACGTTGAATGACCACGTGCAGGAACCAAATGATGGAAAGCTGATTAACAAAATGTTGTTATTTGGATAACTTAGGTATTAACTCCTCCCTCTCTGATCTCGAACGTCCCGTTCGATTGTTAGAAACCAGGTAGATCGTGGATGCTTCTATTTTCTTTTATGTGGTTTTCCGGGGGAGTTTCTGTTACGTCAACCTACTCTGGGCGGTGTTCGTTGCTGGTGGGAGTGGCTGTAACTTTAATAACAGTGGTTTGCCTGCTCAGCTTGAGTTTTAGTGCATAGGCAACGAAGACCAATATAATTCCAGAAGTTATTCCGAAATTAGTGATGGTGTTTGTTTTGAAATTTTCTCGTAGCATGCCTATCTTCTCAGTGTTCTTGGTATGGAGATCTCTCATTAGCTGCAGTAACAACACCTCTTCTATCGCCGTTATTGGCCTTTCCAGTTGGCTCATGGCTGGTAGTAGTTTAAAGTTGGAGGTTTCATATGAAGAGAAAAATGTATTTCCTTTTCCTAATGTATAGTTGTTAAATTTAATTACAAATGACCCTTTAATTATTTTTAGTTCGTTATCGATACAAATGTTACCCTTAAAATCGTTAAGAAGAATAATGCCTGTGTCTATTGATTCTATTGTTGTACCCAGAACCCATTGTTTGATGGGCAAATAGGGTATAATGTATTTGTGCAAATTTATGTAACAGGCAGAATGAAGCATCTCCGACCCCATAAAGTATATATATTCTCGATCAGCATCAAAAGCCTAGTCGATCTAGCTATGTCCGTCTGTCTGTCCGTCCTTCCATCCGTCCGTATGTATGAACGCAAGGATATCAGAACCTATAAGAGCTAGAGACTAGGTCCTCATAGTGCACGCGCAGATCGGGTTTGTTTCCGATATTCGATAACTTCTTACCCTTTTGCAAGTAATCGATAAAAATCGATATCCAAATCCTGTTTTTTGAGCAATTTTGGTAAATAATATGAATTTGAATTCTATCAACAGCATTGCAATTGCGATTGTATTGTTTTCTGTGCTGTTATTTTTATTGGTTTTTTTGTCATTAAAGCTCAGTTATTGGTATAGAGGCACCGGCAAGTGGTGCGGTTAGTTGCGAGTTCGAACCCTGCCAAGAGACCATTTTTTTTATTTTCATTTTTCTTTATTACTACTAAAACAAACGAGGGCGTAGTGCGATCTGCATTGGTGTTGAAAGAAGAGGGTTCAGGGTATCCCCTAGTCGGGAGCTCCCGCCTATAACCTCTTACTTGTTTTTAATTTATCTTTATTGCTACTAAATTTGGTGTTGGAAGAAGAGGGTTCGGGGCTTCCTCTAGTCGGGAGCTCCCGACTAGAACCTTTTACTTGTTTTTATATGGTCATTGTTAGTAATGGTATAAATATTGGGCATGCTTGTTAATACCTTAGAAAAGCAGTTATCGTTTGAAATATCTTTAATGTTCGATTTTAAACACATACTGATTTTATTAATATTTTTACATTGATTGTTAATCGCAAAACCAGCAGTTTTACATTTTATTACGTTTTCATATGTTATTTTAATTACACTTTCCGTTTTCTTCAAGGGTTTTAAAGTAAATGTTTACAAACTTCTTTGTCTGAGTTAGGGATGTCGATTACGTAAATTAGCTTTTCGCCATTGAAAGCGATTTTGATATAAGCAAAATTAAAGGCTTCTTCTATATTATTATTATTAAATGGAATATTTTCTTCAGCAAAAATGTT